CTCATTTTCCACCATACTCAGCCCAACCATAGCAGAATGCTAATGCACATTCTTCTAACATTACCTTCACTAAAAGAGAGCACAGGGGGGCAGTGACCATTTCAAAGGGAGGAAGTGACCATTTCCACGGATGACACTTCTCAAATCTAGCAGCTTCTTCCAGAGCATCTGCTAGTTTAGCTCAGCCCAAGATGGCCTGTAGTACAGCCAGGTACACCAAACCCTTGCTCTTGTAAATCAACAAAAGGAGCATATCTTTGGTAAACAGCTATGTAGACTAGGAAGGGCTGGCAGCAGGCAATTATATATCAAGATTTTCCATTCATCTTATATGGCATAGGGAATGGGGAAAGAAAGAACAAAAAAGGATGAATTTGAGCAGCAAATATTTGGCAGCTAACTCCAGTCTATAATGCTATCACCCATTTCTACTATTTAGTGACAATATGCCGTAAGAGTACAGATATCCAGATTCCACACACATATTATAGCCCTTCACATCACTTTCTCATGAATTTCTCCAATTCTCACAAACACTAATAGCTCTGCTTCCTTCTTGTTCCCCTGAAAGATACATTTGTGTTCACCTATTACATTTAACACTGCATTACTTATTCTTTTGGTTTGCTTTTCAAGGGACTGATTTAATCTTTTCGTCAAAATATTTCCAATCTTTCAGTGAAGAGTTCATTGATGCTTCAGGGCACAGAGCACCATTCAAGAGCTAGAATTAATAAGAATGTAAGAATTCTTCATTTTATTTTTATAGGATACCATTCTGTCAAAGCCTCCTTTGCTGGAGGGATCTTGTTGAAGGGGTTTATACCATATTGTTATAACATGCTAACGACATTTCTGGGTCATAAACAACCCAGTCCCGATTATTCATCAGGCCCAATTGCAAGACAATTAAATCCAAAATGCTTTGAAGTTCTGGCAAAGAAGAAAAAAGGACTTCAGTATTCTGTTCTATAAGGAAATCAATAATTGCCTCAACTGTGGAAGTTAATATGCAATATATGGATTTTTTACTCATGTTCAGTAATACACTCTCTTGTATGTTACGTACAATGTTGTATTTATCCAGATCTCAACAATCATTTTTAAAATTACATATAAAAATGTGTTTCTTTGATCTGTTTATTCTCATAAAAGTTTCAACAAGAAAGCCAAAAGAAAACAGCTGAGTAAAGTCTTTTCAACTTCAAGAGACATGTTAGAAAGTAGTTCTGCCTGTGCTGGAGGGCACAATCTGTAATAACTTTCTGCCTTCCAGATAATAATGACAGGCCCCATTATTAACAGGACAACTAGCTCTGCAGCAAGCATGCTTGGCTGGTAGAGTGCACACGCACGCACGCATACACACACAGTCTAGCTAAAGTACTTTTACTCACAGAAATCTAAGTAAATTTCTATACTCTACCCCAAACTGAGTAAATTTATGGCCTTCCTGAGACAGAAAGCTACTAACATATACTGTTTTGATGTTAATTGGAAGTGTTCAAAATCTCAAACAATATACATATCATTGGGTTTGGATTACCAGCAAGTGCAAACAAACAAACAATCTTAGTCACATACAGCATGACCCAAATGAAAAACAGGATAGTTATATAAAGCATCATACTTCAAAGCTAAAAATTCTGAGAATGCCCTTTCCTCAACCAAAGCCTAGAAAACAGCTGTAGGTCAATGCTCACTATAAAAAAAAACATAAAAATCAAAGACCAATTTACAATGGATGTAAGATCACATTATATGTAATTAAAACGTAGGCATGTTGAACTGTGTTCAGCCCTCATTAAATGTTAATAAAATCATAATCATTGTTTCCTGACCAAACAATGGTACAAATGAAGGACCAAATCCTGCCCCTTACTCATGCAAGTGAGGCCTATAGGACTACCCACATGGCTAAGGATTATTCATGAAAGTAAGATGCTGCAGGATCTGACTGTAGTAGAATTAATGTGGCCTTACGAACTATGTGTGCTATGTGGCCTTACGAACACCAGTGTCCACATAGCAAAATGGCACTTTTAAAACCTCTTTCACATACATTTTATTTCCTGACATAAGAAAAAAAAATAGCTTTAGGCATGCTGAGGTGGGATGACTAGCACTTCATGTGTTAACACAGTACTGATACTCTTTGAAATGCAGATCAACTTCACCACTGGGGTGAAGATGCTTATAAATATTAACTGTATTATATTTGCATGTGTCACCCAGAGGCACAATTTTTCCTGTTAAAAATGGAAACAGAACCCTTATAATTTCATCACGTGTCACTTTTTGATCAAAAGGCATAAAATGACTGTGACAATTATTCAAGAAGGAATAGAGTATAAGGCAAAGAGTCAAATTCAAAATAGCATACTGTTAATTATGGTTAGCAGTTTGGTCCAGACAGATGCCCACAATGCCAGAACAGACATTTCAAAAATCTAAAAGGTCATAATCACACTCAAAAGCATTTAAATATGTAACTTTTTCTAGAAAACTGAGAAGGATTTTCTAATGATATGGATTTCACAGTAGGACTGTAGAATTGGACTAAAAATCTAATCTTTATAGGGAGAGACCTATCATACCACAAAAGGTAGATTTGCAGGAGTCCTCCCTATCACAGCTTTTGTCATGGAATAGATGCAACTGCAGTGAAAAAGAACAAACCTTGTGTTTAGGTACTGCAAATGGACTTTTATATGGCTTTATGAACTAAAAAAAAAGTTGAAAATATTTATATATTATTGTTAGTTGCACTTTTTCACCCTTAAAGGTGTTGATAATATGTACTGTTGAAAAAATGTTATTAAATAAACTGTCCTGAGTTGCCACATTTTTGAATAAAATCCAAGCATATTCTATAGCTAGAAACATACACAATACTTATTCTAAGATTTTTAGAATACCAACAACTTAAAAAGAACACACATTTGTGAAACTATTTTACCTTTTATTATTACATGTAACTCCTAAGAGGATGCATGACTCTGAGAATTAAGGGAAAAAATCGTATTTTGACAGTTCTTTGTGTACATTCAGTGGAGCAGATTCTCAATTTGCATAAACTGTTGTAGCTCAGTTGAACTCAATGGAGCTATGACTGTTTATACCAGCCAAAGATCCCGCCAAGCATTTCTCCTCTAAATCATCTGGGACCCAATCCTGTAAATGTACTTTACCCAGGCACAGTGCTTATTGCAGAATTAGGATCTTGGTCAGTTTCCTCCGAGTGGGTCTTCCACACAGCAAAAAGGGGTCGGGGGGGGGAGGGAATTAACATGAAAATGTTACTGTAAAACCACAAAAAATGGTAGAGGAAGAACAATGGGGCAAGCCTACCTGAATCTACTTTTAACCCCTTGCATGAAACTGACCAGATTTCAAGTTGGTGTCTCTTTAAAGAGCTGAGTGTATTCTCACACACATAACCAAATCCAACATTTTCTTCTTTCAGTTGCTGACCTATCCACATTAATTTGACCATGATTGCAATGTGAAAGATATATTTTACTCAATAAAACATTATTTATGACAGAACGAGGAGTAATGGTCTCAAGTTGCAGTGGGGGAGATTTAGGTTGGATATCAGAAAAACTTTTTCACTTGGAGGGTGGTGAAACACTGGAATGCGTTACCTAGGGAGGTGGTGGAATCTCCTTCCTTAGAAGTTTTTAAGGTCAGGCTTGACAAAGCCCTGGCTGGGATGATTTAATTGGGGATTGGTCCTGCTATGAGCAGGGGGTTGGACTAGATGACCTCCTGAGGTCCCTTCCAACCCTGATATTCTATGATTCTATGAATTCTATGATTCTAAGATTATTTGCCGAGAAACTTTCTAGTTCCCTGTATTCTGCAAGAAACACAACTAAACTGCTGATCACACCTGGTGAAATGTAGGCATTCAGAATTTATGCCGTTCACCTAAAAATTGCTAACTGAGAGAGCTTCACAATACTTTTCTGATCACGATCCAACAAATGAGAGCCCTGGCGGCTGTAACTCTCAGATTTCGAGTATCAGAGGGGTAGCCGTGTTAGTCTGGATCTGTAAAAGCGGCAAAGAGTCCCGTGGCACCTTATAGACTAACAGAGGTATTGGAGCATAAGCTTTCGTGGGTGAATACCCACGTTCTCAGATTTTGCACACTTCTAGGCACTGTTCCCAAGGAGAGCTGTGTGGGATACAGAACCCGGTATAAGCATAGAACCGTTTACGAAAGGCAGATTCATGAAATTCAGGACTGAAAACATGGATTTGGGCACAATCTGGGGACTGCTACAATAGTGAGAGTGCGGTCCCCCCCAGGTTTCTGAATGAAGCGGCTCCCCTCCCTCCCCATGCTATTTCCTGACACTAAATCATGCCCCAGATGCCATCCGGCCCCAGAGGAGCTCCCATGAAGGCAGAGGCCAAAGCACCTGCCTGGACGCTGTGGTTGGCAAAGAAGCGGTTAAGCAGGCGGCGACCCAAGCGCGGGGAAGGCAACCCACACTCCACCCTGGCCACCACGCCGGCAGCTTTCGCTCCTTCCCATCCCCTCGCTGGCGCAGCCCCCTGTGCCCACCGCCCCACGGCCCGGGACACCCGGGCTTGCACCCCGCCAACAACTAACCACCCCCCGCGCCCGAAACGTTGTGCGGAGCTCGGTTCCACCTGCGTGTTTCTGCCCGGCTCGGATTTTAAGCGGATTCGTGACTGTGCAAATGGGAACAGAGATCTCGGGAGGATCTTTGCTTGACAGCTGCTAAAGCAAAAAAAAAAAAAAAAAAGTAACACCCTGAAGTCAACCCCGCATTCCCCTTTCAACACCCACCCACCCACCCACGTGGGACCTGAAGGAGACTCCTGCACTTGCTAGAGCCTACCCCTGGGGGAGGGATCTCCCACTAGGGCAGCTTTACACTCCGCCGCGGTGCGGTGTGCGTGCACTGAGGGGGGGGGGCGTCCTCCCCGCCCCGGAGTTGGATGCTACAGGCTCCGCCACTTACCCAAACTGCCGGCGAAACCGTCCATTTTGTGTCGGGAGAAGCTGGGGTCCGGGACCCCGGCGAAGCCGCTCGCGCTGGTGGAGAGGGTCGGGGAGGCAGGTTCATTCACCCGCGGAGCCGCGGCGGCGGGAGGCGGCTGCGGCTCCGCGCCGGGCTCATGAGCCGCACGCGCTGCCTCCCGGGGATCCCCCAGGCTCTGCGGCTCCTCCGGCGCCTGCTGCTGCTGCTCTCACTCGCCGCCGCCGCCGCCGCTGCCCGGGCTCGGTCACAGCTCCGCGACCCAGCACCGCCGCTGCAGCTCCGGCTCCTCCCGCGGCTGTCAGTCCCGCCCAATAGCGCCCAGTGCTTTCGTGCTTCCGACTCCGCCTCAGTTGGCAGCCGGGGCTTCCCCTGCAGGCTGAGGAGCCCGGCGGGAGGGGAGCAGGCCGACCTGCCCTCCCGAGCCTGGGTGAGGGGCTGCTGTGCCCTGCAGGGCGTGAGCCTCTGCTGCCCTCGCCGCGACTGACTGGGGCAGGCCTCCCTCTGAACCTGCCTGGCACCGGGGCCCCTCGCTGCGCCTGGCTCTGTCGAAGCAGCACTGGTACAGTTCATTGCTCCTAGGCTCTCCTGCACCTCATTGCTCCTAGGCACAGGTGCACCTCGCCGTGTTTGTGCTAGGGCATGACCGTGGCTCTAGGCACTGGTGCAGCTCACTGTCTGGGCGTTCACTTCCTTGTCTTTGGAGCCCTGCTGACTCGGGAGCACCTGCTTTTTGATTTGCACGGTGTCCTACCCAGGTGAGGTGCTCTTTGCAGAAACCTGGTGCTGAAGAGCTTATAACAGACAACGTTCTGACAAGGACCAGACAAAGGGTGGGGGAGGATGCCTCAAGAGACATCATCCCTTTTTGTTCACTGTATTGCCTGAATCTTAATTGATTATTGCTGCAGGATATATGAGTTGCTATGTTTGAACATAAGGTAGGCACCTCATTGTGTCTGGTATTGGTGTCTTCATGTACCTCATCTCTGTTCACAGCAGGCACTTCAATGAGTCTATGCAGAACGCTGATTCCAGGCACTTAGGCACATCATCTTGAGGCACTTATGCATCTCCTTGTATCTTTGCACCCATGAAAGTATCCACCTTATGGTGTTGACCTATGCACCTGCTTGTTTCCTCGCAATCCCTTCTTATTAGTAGGGCTCATAATTTCAAATCAATAAGATATTTGTACAAGAATGAAAAGCATAGGCATGCACGCACACCTGCACACAGCCCATACTAACACACATTATGCGGGAAACGCCGCTAAATAAGAGCTGGCAGAAATGGAATCCATCCCCCACCCACAGCCAAGCAGCAAGGTTGCAGCATGCTACAATAGTGACTGTTTGTCCTCCACTTCCAGTATAGAGGGGTTCCCAGTCACTGCACTGAGGTGCACAGATACTGGCCATTCCCCAGCCTGCCCCAGCACTAGCATGAAGCACACTTTCCCAGGCCTTCCTCATGCAGAGGTACCATACACAGACTCTCTGCAAGTGAGAATATCATATCCATTCCTGCAAGATTTTTTTAAACTTTAATATTATTAAATGTTACCCCTCAGAATTAAAAGGTTTTGCTAGATTAACAACAAAAATACATATATTTAAAAAGAAGATCAAACCAAAATATTGTATTGTTGTGGTCAGCAATCAGTTTGAGTGATTTGGCCAGTATTCAGAATGTTGTATCCTATCTGAATAACAAGCAAGAGAAGTTTTCATTTATACAAGTGCACATTTCTTGGGGTTTAGAATTAATATTAGAACTGTGTATGGGAGACCCCCACATACATCCAGCGGAACCAGGTTCCATGTGGTCCTCATCTCTTCCCCAGACATGTAGATTTGGGGAAAAGAAAACTCCAGGATGGAACCAGCTTTAGAACATAGACCCAAACTGGCAGATTACTATTCTATTTTATCCTATCCTATATAGGTTCTTATACCACTCTTATCACAGTGTCTGAGCACCTTTCAGTACTGCATTAAGCAGCGTGACTCACATCTGTCACATGTTTAATTCTCTCATCTTTCTAGAGCGAGAATTTGTGCAGTGTATTTTCTTGTTTGATGGGGATTTTTTTTTCTGTAAATGAATATGCTGTTATATGTTTATATTAGAGAAGGCAAGGTCATATAATTGTGCCTTGCACTTGAAGTGGAAGGTGGTAAGGTCATGATGGTCCTTAATTCCTGTAGGAATTTGTCTCACATTCGTGGACCAGCTACTGAGAAAGTTCTGTCTCCTGCTGTATCTTGACCTTTATTGTAGAGAGTCCCATTGTGCAGAGGAGTGAAGGTGTTGACCACCATCTTCATCGCGGAGCTTTAGCTTTCTGCTTGGCCTGCTAGGGAGGGAGAGGACCGCTGTCGTCCTCCTGCTAAGCCTCCCTTCTCCTGTGCCCCCAGCACGTTCGGCCACTCTCCCTGGCACCTGGGCCCGGGTGGGGAGCAGGAGGGAGCCACTTCTTATGCCAGCTGAAGCTGGCTGCTCTGAGTCACTGACTCTGTGCACGGTGGCAGATGCCTGAGAGAGAGCCTGGGCTCTCCGCTTGTGCCTCGCTGCCAGGGACAAGGGACGAGCAAGACAGAGCAACCCCACCCCAGCATGTTTCTGGTTCACTCGGCCCCTGTGCCTCTCAGCTGGGCCTGGGCAGGGAGCAGAGGGGACAGGGCAGGGTGGACTGCCACCCCAGCTGGGCTCTCTCTCAGGCAGCCTCTGCCCTGCACAGAGCAATGATCCAGAGTGGCCGGCATGGGACGCAGTTGGTCCCACCCCTTCTTCTGCTTTCCTGGGCGTGACTGCCAGGGACAGGGGCCAAGCATGCTGGAGGGGCAGGCGCAGCAGGAGAAGGACAGAGCCCCGCTTCATCTCCCCAGCAGGCCAAGCAGAAATCGGGGGGGAGCACATGACCCCACATGTCGCCCCATGCGTCACCCATGCGTCCAATTGCTACTACCTTTTTGGTAAAAACTGAAACAAAAAAGTCATTTGGCACTTCTACCCTTTCCACATTTTCTCCTATTGTCGTTCCCCCCTCCTCGAGTAAGGGGCCTCCCCTGCACAGGCCTTGATCTTCCTCTTGCTTCTAATGTATTTGTAAAATGTTTTCTTGTTACTCTTTATGTTTCTAGCTCATTTAACCTCATTTTGTGCATTTTGGCCTTTCTAATTTTGTCCCTATATGCTTGTGTTGTTTTTTTGTGTTGGCATGTACAGTCAATGCCAGCCAGGTCATCTGTGGTGATGTAATGGAGTCTCCTAGCCAACCAGAGATGGTAGAAAGAGTTAATTGTGGATGTTGCTATTATGAGAGGTTAGTATCAGAGAGTACTCCTAAAAAATCAGGTTGAAATTACTAATGGTCAACGTGTACCCAAAGGAGACTGTAAAGGTGGCTGCGAACTGTTCAAAGTGCTTTCTTCTGCACACCAACATCACCACTGTGCTTCTCAAGTTCATCTTCAGCCAGCTGCTCCTCATCTGTGAACTGATTTTGCCCAAGCACTGGGCCATCTTGGTGGTAGTAGTATGGTCATATGTGATTGAAAGATAAATAAAGCTGTAGCTCTGTGTGTCATCTGCATATTGCTGGCATTTAAGACCATGTCACCTTACCACTTCACCTAGTACTGCACATAGGTGTTGAACAGGACTGAAGAGAAAATTGATCTTTGTGGGACTCCACAAGTGTGGAATCTAGTGGCAGAGGTGCTCTTTTTAGGTTCATCCCTCCAGGAAGAATTTAAACTGTTGAGTACATTCCCCTGGGTATCTGCCGCCTCTCTTAGGTGAGAGAGCAGTATCTCATGGTCAACAATATCAAATTCTGCACAGAGGCCCAAGAGGATGAAAATGGATGTCTGCCCACCATCCACTGACAGCCAGAGATAATCCATCAATGCCACAAAAGCTGTTTCCATCCCATTCCTCATCTAAATCCAGATTATACTGGGTTTAGAATATCAGCTTCAGTTAGATGAGTCCTTTGGCTACTTCTCTATTAGGCTTGATACTGGGCAGTAATTAACCTTAGTACAGCAGTACTTACAGCAGGTACAGAAGCCCTGTGGGGGTGAGGGAGTTGAATATGAGATCCAGCCATCAGGAACAGCTACACATGTAGTTTAAAACATTCCTGCCCACTGGTGATATCATCAGGCTTTCAAGATCAAATTTGATATTGTAGACTCAAGCCATTTATCTGTCTCAAATGTAAGCCCTCTACTAATGCCAGATTCAGACACACCCCTGAATTTATCTTCAAGGAATTTAGCTTCATAACTAGTTGTACCAGACTTTGTTACCACCACCAAAATACTATTGCATAATTTCTCCTTGCTTGTCATTAAAAGACAAAGCATGGCTACATAAAATGGACATCTTCATCATCCAGACTATGCCAAATCCATAATGAAAGAAGCTTTACAATAGAACTTCAGAGTTACGGACACCTCGGGAATGGAGATTGTTTGTAACTCTGAAATGTTCCCTAACTCTGAACAAGATGTTACGGACTTCAGCCATGGGGGGTTGGGGCTGCAGCCGCAGGGTGGGAGGGTGTCAGGGCTGGTAGAGGGAGGGGGAGTCGGGGCTTCTGACCCTTGGGTCACCAGGGCTCCGGGTGGGGCAGAGGGGACCTCAGGGCTTCTGCCCTTCAGGAGCACTGAGGCGCAGGGCTTCAGCCCAGCGGCTCCTTTCCTGATTTCAGCTTCAAGGAGAATGCCACAGCTCAGGGCTCCCCACGGCTCTGCTTCAGCTGGGAGGGGGCGCATCGGGGTTCAGGGCTTTAGCTACAGGGGGAGTGTTGGGGCTGAAACCAACACTCCCCTCTTAGCTAAAGCCCCGAGCTCTGGTGCCTGCCCACCCGACCCGCCGTGGGGCTCAAGCCGGGAAGAGAGCCACAGGGCTGGAGCCCCGACGTCCCCCACAGGACTGAAGCCGGGAATGGAGCTATGGGGCTGAACCCCCGAGTCCCAGCGCTCTCCCCGGTCTAAAGCCCTGAGCCCCAGTGGTCCCAACGAGGGTCAGAACCCCTGCTCGGAGCCCTGACCCCCACACACAACCTGCGGCTGCAGCCCCAACCTCCCCGTCCCTCCTGAGGCTGTACAGTATTTGCTGGGGCTTTTTGTTCATTTGTTTGTTTTTGTCTCCCCTGCTGCCTGATGGATTACTTCTAGTTCCACAGGGTATCCAGTAAGTACATAACCCTGGTGTT